TCAGGTTTTTATAGAAAATATCCTAAACCAGACTTAACATGAATGACACATTGAAGACTAAATTTCTCAGCTTCTGCATGTGTTAAGTTAGTTTTCCCCTAGAATTAAGTATTAATATGATGCTGCATTTCATAGATCCTAAAATTGTAAATTGTTATTGGTGAGAAATTAAGATAAACATTTTTTATTGTAGTAATTGTCAGTACTCGTTCATTTATGAAACTTGTTCAGTCACAATGAAGCAAATCTTTAAAAGAATCTTATGATCCCATTGAAGGCCATTTTGTAGCTTGATGTCCACATGTGGATGACTTCTGCGAGGTGTTATTCTTTGCATAGTTTCTAATGGAGGAAAAGGATTGTGAATGCAGTTCCGTGCACCTGACAGTCCCTTGACTTTTCCCCCAAGTAGGCAAGGTACATGAAAGTAGCAGCTGTGTCTACTGACGTTCTCAAACTTTATTTTAAAGATTTTGTCCAAGCCATGCAAGCGTCCTAGCAATTTGGGGAGAAGAATTCTAACTTCTTACCTGAATTTGCAGCAGTCTTTTACAACGCTGGTTTTGAATCGTTCTTTTGTTATTTGTACATGTGCTGAACCATTCACAATGGAGAGGAGTATTCTCATTTTATTCTCTTCATTAGTATTTAAAGATTCCCAGCAAAAAAACTCCCACTTTGTGGGGTTTTTATTTATTGTTTATAATATTACATATATTATATGCGTTACTTATTTCATTTTTTAGAACTCTTTAAGATAAGTTTGTGTTAGGCACACTTCAAATTCTGTCTTCAATAGCACCCGTATGTACTCACTGTTTTCAGAGAATTGTACAGACGCATTCATGACAGAAGGGAAAGTGTCTTCCTCAAACTAGGAAATCCCTTTTGTGTTAGGCAGTAAATCATGCAAGGACAGGTTGTTACATTTAATTTCAGAGAGCTTAGTAATCTAGAAAGGTGAATGGAAAGTTATACCCGAGAAGCAGTATGTGGCCATTAGCTTCTTTCATCTCTTAAGTGCTGAATTATTCTTGAACAACAGATTTTCTGTTCGAGGGCACATAGCAGGGTGTCCTAGTGGTGCGTGTGACAAGAGGGAGAAGCAGTAAGAGCAAAGTCTGTTCGCATCACCATATGGGCACAAGGACACGCAAGTGAGAGAGGTGGAACTTTGCACAGCACGAAGGTTCATCATTGAAAGGGTGAGGTAGATTTGGAGAGGACAGATCTTGAGGTTTCTCTAAATCATTTTGGGCTGGATTTTCAAAGGTCACTTAGATACCTAAAGATGTACTTAGATTCTTACAGGATTTTCAAAATTACTTATTAAGAGTTCTGTTCTTTTGAAGAAAGTAACAGTAAAGTGAGATGTTCATTAAGAAGATGTTCCTGCAGTCTTGTCCCTCAAAGCGGTTAAAACAGAAGCCGAGTTCACAGCTTGAATGCAGTGCACATACGCTGTGCAGAAGCCTCAGTCTGAGATGATGTCTTCCTTAAAGGCAGCAAACCATCGCTGCGCTGTGTCCCAAGGAGAGCACCACTGAAGAGGTCCGATTTTAGGAGTGTGCAACAAATTCCCAGGACTAGGAACGACACCTAGGTTCTGGCTAAGCCTAGCTGGTTTAGAGACGTGCTACCCAGTGATGTGTGACCATATACAGAATATTAGCCATGCTGTAAGATCATTTTTTTGGCTCTGCAATTGTATTCTAACTATACTAATGGTATCTAATATGGGATAACAATTCCATTGCTGTGTCAGTAGTTTTTCCTGCTATTTGTATCTCTAGCGCTCCTGCTACCGCATGTGTAAACAGAATAGATGGAACACAAATAAAAGCTAGGTTTATCAGATAAGAAATTATTATTTTTACATGCTGTTTATAGTAGAAGCGTTAGATCAGACAGTAAGATCTTACGGATATGAAAAGATGGGAGTTTTTCTCTCAAAAGCAGTTATGAACATCCTTTGACATGAAAGATTCCTTTTCAAAAGTCTAATTTTCATTTCCTTTCAGAAAAAAGAGAGAATGCTTCACAGCATGTCAGCTGCATTATTTTTGCAGTTTAGAATATGGCAGATGAGAGTCTCCATACCTGCATATAAGTGTATGATTGTGAATAATCCATGTTAATAATTTAGTTATGACCTGAGTTCTTGACCTTGTTTGTTTTACAGTTGTGGTTTACAGTATAGCCATTTCCAGATTTTCCAATAATTCCAGGAATTATTATTAAGCTTTCCACCTATTTCCAGAGAAATTAGAAATCATGTATTTCCTTCTTTTTTTTTTTTCTTTCCTGTTTGATGCAGCAGAGTGAAACCAAGGTCTGAGGTTCTGAGGGAAACAGATATGTAAGAACCAATCTCAAGAAACATTCTTTCATAGCATGAGTTTGGAAAGATCCGTGCACATTTCTTCATTTTGCTATAATGTTTTCCTCCCTGGCATTGTAACTAACTTGGTATGGGCTGGATTTTCAAAGGGTATTTAGGTAATTAACAGCGTACCGGCCTCACCCAGTGAAATGAGGTTATAGGGAAATAAGTCTGCAAAGTAAACTCTTCCTTATTTTTCTATTTATCAGCTCTTTTGGCAAATTTGCTTTGAAATCTTACAAAAATGACCTTATGAAACTAGAGGCCATATCAATGTCTGTAATTTCTCAGGATAAGGGTGACTTTAGCACTTGATTTGACTGGAATGAAAACGTGTTTTAGATGTCTATTCAGATGCTGCTCAGTATCTGGGAGGCAAAAAGGCTGGATGGCTTTTTCTTCTTGGAGAAGGCAAAATAGCCCATCTTTCGCTTCCAGGAAATCTCAAAAGCTCTAGCTCTAGCTAGTTATGGCCTTGTTCTTTCAGTAGGCTTTTGTTTTGCAGCTTGCTTGGATGGATTTGTGTTACCAATAAAGACAGGGAGAGAAGAGCACCGCTGTGGTCCGCATTTCCCCGTCTCAAAGAAGAAACAGCAGCAACTAGCTCATACCACTTTACTTTTAGCAGCCAGCTTCCTTTATTCCAGCAGACTGAAATTTAGATTTTACAGCTTTATATCAGTCAACATGCCAGTGGCCTCTGATAGTCTCTTTGTTTGTCATAAACTGTTAAGATCTGGCTGTGACCCAAAAGGCCTTTCTCAAGCAAAACGGGAACATTTGTTCTCAGGATTTCTGCCTCACTCTTTTAAACTCCTGTTTGGCCCATCTGTCATTTTATGCTCTGTGCTTGATCATTTAGATCTTGCCTTGCCACCTCGTATGTAAATTACCTCGGTTGATAAAACTCCCTACTGGTCATAAAAAAAATCAGTATTTTTATATGGTGGCAGCTGCTGTAATGCAGCAAATTATTTTAAGAGCTGTTGAAAATATGGAATTTACATCAAGTGTACTCTCTAAATGATTCACTGCCTCACTTACGATTAGTGAGGTACAGAGCTGTGCGGTAATGCTTGATACTTTTTTTTAAAGTTTTTTTTTAAAGAAATATTTTTGGGAGTGAAGCATAATGCATGGAATGAATAGTCATTAGAAAAAATAAATACTTGGCCATGATGGTTTCTGAAATACTGCTAACAGCAGGTTACTCAGATTTTCTGCAACTCCGGTGAACCTTGTCCTCGTGTATAACACTTCTCTCTGGAGTCTGGTGAGTGCAGATTACAGTCCAGTGACTATATTCCACTGTACGTTTCACAGTCTTCTCTGGATAATAAAGTAAAAATCCTGCCCGAGGCATATGCACGGCTGTAACCATCCAATTATATTTACCATCTGAAAGACTCGAACCAAGTTTGCATTGAAAAACCCTGACATTGGAGATGTGTTGCATGGTTAGCTACACAACTCGTATACTTTTATTGTACAGAAGATTCTTGTTTCAGAGCCCACAAAGCCTTTTTTACTCAACCTACTTGCTGTAATAAAAAAAAAAAAATAAGTGCTGCTTCAATATATTTAGGTAGCTGAGTAGCCATGCAGACGTAAGGGTTTTTTGGTTCCTGAAAGCAGTAATTTGTGAGTTTCAATATTGCGTAGCTATCTAATATTTTGATTTTTAGGTCAGGTAATCTTGAAGTAATACAATTTCAAGAAAGAAAGGGAGAGCCTCTTAACCCTCAAATGCACTACAGCCGTGTTTGACCTGCCTCTGGAGTGCAAAGGTGGTTTGTCACCTCCAGAGCTATCTGGTGGCGGTTTGTATCTGGACGTAGCTCTGAGCGAGCTGGAGCAGATTTTAAGTTACTCCCGTTTACAGCTCCCCGCTCTCCTGCCCCCAGTGCAGTTCACTGATGGATGCTGTGGCCGTGTGGGGGTGAGGGGGAATTTTCTTACCCTAAAAGCGAGAGGCTGAAAGTTTGCAGTCAACAAGTTTCTGCACAGTTCTGTTTATCCCTTCTTGAAGAGAGTCTCAGCAAAATGCTGTTACGAAACTGTTGAAATAAGATGTCGGTGCTGAATTCCATTTTCTTCGTGATTTCTGAGAACGCCGCATCGTTTTAGGGGCTGCAGATAGTTGTCGTGTGTACTGGAGTTCTGCATGTTTATTGCCGCCTTTTTCCTGGGTCTGTGCTTCTCATGCTGGGTTTGTATCAATTTAATAAAAGTGGTTTGGATGTTTATTTGTATTGTAAGGTCTTTCACTTGTACATAGCTAATAAAAGAGATGTCATAAAACTTTTAATAATGTTGTTGGCTCTATAGGCAGAGAGGGGGGACTGAAGCAGGAAAAAAAATTTTTCCAAACATTTCCTTAAATAGCATTATTTCTGCTTGGCTTTGCAAAAGCAGCATCTGACATTACCTGTGTGTTTGTCAGTTTGCTTTCTCTCCAAATAATTCTTTATGATGTAGTCACATATGTACTGTCAGATTATTGCAAAATGGGTTAAGATGACTCTTTCCCTTTCATTTCTATAAACGTTTGAACATTAAAACGCAAAGGAGACGTTTAGGCTTGTTTAACTAAATCTATGTTTTTATTTCCCTGAAGTTTCAGACCCAGAGCTTGCGTCTCTCTGATCTGCACAGAAAATCGCAGCTATGGAGAGGTATAGTTAGTGTTACTTTAATAGAAGGCCGAGAACTCAAGGCGATGGATGCCAACGGGCTGAGCGATCCCTACGTGAAGTTCCGGCTGGGGCATCAGAAGTACAAGAGCAAGGTAACTCCGACTGCGGCCTCAGCTGTACGTCGTTTGAAGCGTGTTTTGTTTCTGTTTGTGGTTTCTGCTTGCATGATTATTAAAATACTGTTGGAGGTTTATTATGTTAATTAGCTGCCAAAGCTCCTAGAGTTTTGCTTAAATGTTGTTTTTTGTTTCAGTATGAACAAAAATAATAAATACATGGAGGAAAATATAGGACTACAGTGGGGGGTGGAGGAGCTTCTCCTCTAGACAGGCTGTGCTGGTTCTGTTTCGTGTTACTGGTCGCTGGGGAGGGTACTGGTGTAGGCCGTTAGGGCGATTCTGACAGCCACCACCTTTCTGCCCGGCTGGTTTGGTGCCCGTAGCCTTTCGGGCCCTTTGCATGTTCTTGTCCTCCAGGCTTGTCCTGCTTGTATTCACCCTTTCCTCATTGTGTCCTTGCAACAAGCTTCGTTACAGCTGTGTATATCTGTTTGGGTAACAGCCGGAGAGCGTTGATCAAGGAGGAAATAACTGTGGAGAGTTGTTTTGCTTTCTTGCTGTTATCTTTAATTTCCATGGTCGCTGTTCGGTTTGAAAATTGCCTGATCGCAAGGGAGGCTGTAAAATCCCACCGGGGCAAAGGCTGACCTTGTCCAGTAGAAATTCCCGTCCGGCTGTCTGAAGCGGCAGTCTGGTTGGGCCCCCGGCGGTGGCACGCCGCGCAGGCACAGAGGAGCGTACTGATGCTGACTGCCGTTTCTGGAAAATGCTGGGACTGCTGGCGATGACACGTGCATGACCTTCCTCCCTCAATGGCCACGGCCGCCGACATGGTTTTGCAGCGCTGCAGGAAGGGCAAAGCAGTGAAGAGGCCAGGAGCATTTAGGTGCCTGCTTTGCCTACACCTGTGAGACACCCCTAGGGCCCTCTAATCTGAAATCCAGCTTATGGAGGAATAGTTGATTCCCACAGGCTTCTCGTAAACTGTCCAGTTCAACTGGGAAAATGAAATTTTCCCACATTTTTTTTTTTTTTTTTTTATGCTGAGGGAAAACATAAAGGAGAAGAAATCAGCTTCCTCTACCAACAGGAAGAAAGCATTAGTGTGTGTGTGTGTGTGTATATATATATATATATGTGGGGGTTTTTTTTCTTCTACTAGAAGCTAATGGATGTTCATTAGAAAGCGAGTGCTTTTAAAATGCATACATCCTGTGCCTCTGCTAAGATTGATTTTTCGGGGGGAGGTCATTTAGTTGCTGTCTTCACTTAGGCAACTGAATTGATAGGTGCTTTGGTCACTGGATTCAGATAGGGTTTTTAAGGGCAAATGTAAGAGGTCAAATCTGCTTTTACTACACCTTTACAAATTTGTTTAATTTAGCTTTTGAAGTGTTACGTCCCTATTATTAAAATTCCAGGGAAAAGAGTTTTGTTGAGAACCTTAATTCAGATCCTAGTTTCTGTCCTGGTTGTGAATTGGCCGTCAAAGGAGTCAATTCATGGTTTCCTCTTTACTCCCATTTATGTATTTTTTTTTTTTTTTCAAAATCAGCTAGGACATTGGCGACTCCTTCTGTCGTTGTTTGAATTTTACAAGTCAGAAGAAAACACTCTTTTTAAGTGTTTGTACAGGTACTTTTCAGCAAGACATTTTGAGGCAAACAGTATTGTAAAGAAACTGAAGAAATAGGCTTCTTTTCAGACATCTCAGAAGCAATCAGAAGATACGCTTTCCAGATTGAAATAGAGCAAAGATGCTTTTCAGAAATGTGATACTGAAAGATCTATTATTTGTAACTGTGTGCTTTGATTAACCTGAGCAAGGTAAAGAGATTAACTTAGAGATTTATTGCACAGGAAAAGTCAAAAGTATTTTTTGTTTTGTATTTTTAATCATAAAACAAACCAAAGTAACGAAATGCACATGGACTAACTGACAGATTTTTCAGTCTCCTGATGCTGTAGGTATTGTCTGGCATTCTTTTATTTGTGGGATTTTTTTGTTTGTTCTTTCAAGAAACTTCTTCCCCGGTGTTGTTGCCCAGTGTTATGGTAGATGTTACCCCCTTCCCTTTTTTTTAAGCGTGTATACATTTTCACGTACAAATCAAAATGAAGAAATCAAATCTCTTTTATGCTTTCAGGATGTATTTTTGTAGTATTTCTGGTTCTGAATTCTCTCTAATTTTTCTACTTTTCAAGCCAGTGGAACTGGAGGACTTTGAAAATAGTGATTGCTTCATAGGGAGGCTATAGGGTGGATTGCATTCTTGCTCAGCACAGGTGTGACTACTGCTGTTGCATTGTGGTGGAAAAAACTGCAAGCTTTCTGTTCTACTGACTGTGGTTGATATCTTTTGTCAGAAGCAACTAGAGTGAAAATGATCCCAAAACCTACTTTTATCTAAATTATGCAGAAAAGGAAATAAAACGCAGTTTAAAAAAAAAATCTTCTGTAAAAATTCAACCATAGTAAAGTTGAATTCCTCTTTTTCCCAATATTACAGTAGCTGGGGAAAGAGGAGAAGATCATATTATTTCTGTTTAAATACTTTCAGTCACTATCTACTTGTCATTTAAGGTGCTTTGTTTTCCTTTTGGCTGAGAAAGATAACTTTGTAGCTGTCACTCCAGAAAGGGCACATAATTATTGCATAGAAAAACGGATCCATTCCCAGGGTAAATCCTTTGTTCCGGAGGCTTTTGAAGGAGACAGGTTGCAATATTCTGGAGGCTGCTGATGAATCAGAGAGGCATGAAAGGACTGACCAATAGTCTTTTTGTAATTTTTTTTTTTTTTAACTTTTATTGCTTAGGATTAACTGCAAAGACACTTTCTGAGCAGAATCTAAAGATAATTTTGCAATTCAAGAAAGAGCATGCCTGCACAATGCAGTATGACTTTCTTTTTGCTCTCCTTTCAGATTGTGCCAAAAACTTTGAATCCTCAGTGGAGGGAGCAGTTTGACTTTCATCTCTATGAAGAACGAGGTGGAATTATTGATATTACCGTGTGGGACAAAGATGCTGGCAAAAGGGATGATTTTATTGGCAGGTTTGTGCAATTACAGCCTTCCAGTTCTCTGGGGATGAGAGCAGATGATTAAAATGAGTCTTGCTATTGAAACTGTTTCTTACAACCATTTGTTCATGTTGTTTAAAAAAAATGGGGAGAGGGGCGTGTTACAAACTATCAGTACAATTTGCTGCTTTGGTGTTACTCTTTAACGATGTAGAATAAATTGGTGTGACCAGTAGGTGGCGGATTTTACCAACTGTTGGGCTTAGATTTTCCACAATGGAAATCCCATATTTAACAGTATAATCAAGATTCAGGAGGTTCCATATAGCAATGTTTTCTGGGTTGATGGAGAAATAAATTTCATGTATTGTAATATGCTAATAAGAACAAAATGGTATTCTTATTCTTTGATCTACTTGTTAAAGGAAATGAGAATCTTCTACACACAGCTTTTTGGGTAAAGAAGTAAGATCATTCAGCTAGTTTATTTTCAAGAAAGGGAATCTTTGGGATCTTTCTGAGCACTCAGGAAAAAGTATAAATGTGTGTGAGTCTGCTCTACTTTATTGATAGATGCTAATTTTTTTTTTTTTTTTAAACATTTGCATTAGCCATTAGCTAATGGGTAAAACCCCCCAAATCGTAGACATTTTGTTATAGTTACTATACGAGGTCAGTGCTGTTTTGAGAGCTTAGATATGTGGTTGCATCACACATGCTTTGTTAATTGATATCTGTCCATTCAAAATAATAACAATTAATCCGGTATCTTTTGATTGTTAGAATATTGGAAAGCTGTAGGTGCTTTCACTAGGACGTAATACGATTAATAACTTATTTTTTGTAGTAAAAACCAGGAATGGAAATCCCACAAACTGAGCCGTGTACCTTTAATGCCAACGTGGTTATGTTTCTGCTCATCTTTTCCTCACTGTCCTGTTTAGGGTAGTGGATTTGTTTATCAAATTAGATCAGTCATATAGTATTCTGCATTTCCTACCATAAGTCGTGGGAAGTTAGAATAGATGCAGATTCTTTGGCAAAGAAAAGACCTTAATGTCAGACAAAACCCCGTCTAAAAAGTATACTGAGTAGGATTTTATTTTATACAATGAAACCCTATGGCGGGGATGATACATTTGTATTTGAAGTTTAAATCTTATTTTGTTCCTTTCTTGATTTCAGTCGGAACATAGGGTGGCGATAACTATTTTTCTGAAGTAACGTAATGGTTCAGTCCTATGTCAGTATGTGGTATACCTTGGGAAATAGTTTCTATTTTCTGCTTATCTTTAACCTTCTTAGCTAAAAGATTCTGAGATTGAGAATTTTCACATATAACTTTTCAGAACATTCTCATCAAAGCAGCACTTACGTTGTTAGTATTATCAGTAATTATAATTAATATACTTAAAGTACTTTTACGAGCACTGGATAAAATAGAAAGCAGCCTTTGCTCCAAGGAACTTGAAATCTAAATAAGAATAGGAGAAACTAGAAAAGGAGAAGAAAAATTTGTAGCCTCAAACATATGAGCTGCTTAGGTAGTTTTTTCCATACCTAAAAACATACCTAGTATGTTGACTGAAAACTTGCTCTTTTTGATTTTTGTGACCTTTCTTCTATAGGTTCTGTGCCTTGCTATATATAACCACTCTTCAAGCATGTCCTTTTAGATATTCTCTTATTTTCACCTTACATTATCCAGAGGTAAGGTGGCACCTTACCTCTGGATAATGTAACCTGCAAACAAATTCATCTCCGTGAAAAACTTTGTCATTTGTCAAGCTCAATATGAATTCAAAAATAGGTCTTAATATTCTCCCTCCCTAATACTCTTTTCCAGTCACTGTGGATAAAAATCACTGACACTTGACAATTCTGCTTTACATGGGCCTCTCTTCCCCAGTTTTTCATTTTGAGGCTGAGTGTAAAAGCTGCAAATATATATATGCATAAATATGTGTGTGTGTGTGTATATACACACACATACAAATATATGTGTACATATATGTGTATATGTATTTGGTAACTGTTTGAACTTAGAGCCTTTACATTGATTCAGATAGCTACACCTCTTATTCGGGTTCATCTTATCTCTGTCTAGAATTTTTCAGAGAGGAATATGTACACATAAACTGTGTAACACATTCACAGCAAATCTGATGTTTTGATGACCAGCATATGGCCTGTAGGTCCACCAAGTCCTAGAAGTATTGGATTTTTTGACATTTGGATGGAATTTCAACAAGTCTGGAATATAATCAAGCTATTGTACATTGCAAAGCACTAGTACAGCATACATTCAGTCTGTCAGGTGCAGACACTTTGCATTTGCTCTGTGTGTGTGGTGTGCTAAATGCATATTATTTTATTTGAAAACATGGATTCTTGTCTATGACTAAGGCTCTGTGGTGCTCTCAAGGCACATAGAAGAGATTGAATGTTTTGATTCACGTTTCAAGAAAGGTAATAATAAGGCTGTAGGAGGGAAACAAAAGACATCCTGATAGTATTCTAGCAAGGCTCAATGGTACAGAATAACCCCTTTCCTCTTCTTGTGATTTTCCCACTTTCTCGAATAATGTTCAAGCAGTAGCAGTTATTTAGAGAGATTTTTATTAAATGAATATGAGAGTTCTTCCTTAAACTGTCCTATCTGGCCAAAGTATGGTTAGGGAGAAGCCATCCTTGATTGAAGGGATTCTACTTATTGAAAGAAGTAGCAGACAAATTGAGAAAAAAAGAAGAAACTAGTTTAAGAAGCAGTACTCATTTCCCATCCACACTGTGGTGAGATTTTGGGTTTCTTTCTTTGTTTGTTTTTGCATGCTCTGTATTCATCTGCCTGCAGAGCACATGTGAAGATCAACAGAATTTCCTGTGCAAAATAGGCAGTAGTGAGCTGCTTTGTGCATCTGGGGGAATGTCTCCATTAGAATTCCAGCTCTAAAACTATTTTGGAGTTTCCCAACTAAACTGAGCGTGAAGAAGAAGAAAGGGAGCTTCCCTGTTCTCCAGTTGTGGTGGTATTGACGAAATAGTCATGAAAGGTGTGCAGCTTTCTAATAGTTCTCTGTTTGGCATCTTGCTAGGTTGGCTCATAGGCCAGTGGTGATCTTGAACGCTGTGAGATCTGGAGTCATAGCTGTAAGGGTGGGAACTTGAAAGCTCTTCAAGTTGTAATGTTAATAGAGTAACTGCAAATCAGGATTCCTTGGTGAAGGACTCGCGGACCTCCAGATGCCTTGCAGTAAAGGGCATTGGAAGCCTTCTTGAATTGAAATATTCTCTGTATGCTGGACTCTTAACTTACAGATTTTCTTCCAAAGCAGAATGTCATAATTTCTCCTGTCATGATACTCTGTCTCAACTGTATTTCAGTGAAACAAAAAAAAAAATCCAGTACACTCTTCCCTGGGAAATCAATAACATGACTTTTTTGTGGGTCCTTTTTGTATCCTCAGAATCATGAGGCTGGGGCTTGGTAGCAGGGCCAGGATGAAGTACAGAGCATTGCGTGGAGACTACCTCTGTTAGGGGTTGGGCTTGGGATCTTTTTTCCAGGGCAGGAAGATGAAGAAAAGACATTAGAGTAGGCTGAAGGCATGCAAGTGAGATTCTGGCTTTGGGGCTCTGTTACAGCAGGATGACGGAAGTGGAAGGGGTGGCTTATGAGGGAGAGGAAGGTATTAAAAGGGTGAGAGTGACAGCATGGCATCCTAATTCAGAGAGGGAAAAAGATGGCCGTCACAGAACTAGCTTAAAGCTCAGTGTTTATCGTGGTACGGAAACACATTGAGTTAGGCACTTTCTGAAATGAGATGCTGACTGCTTCATTTCCATTTTTAACTTTGAGCATTATGTATCCATAAAATTTGTTTGAGTTTGAATTGTATACGTTTTCCTATCTATGCAAGTATAAAGGATGTAGCATGTTGTGAACTTCCCTCTCAGAATATCCTAAAAATGTGCAATCCAAGAACCATTTCAGTCTCTATTTTGAGGTTTGAAAAGCCAGCAGGTCTCTCCTGAAAAAAAGACCTCATACAAATGTACTGAGAGAAATGTATGTCAAATGATATGCAGATTCATATGAGGAAACCTTGGACTTGACCAGAAGTGTGTTCTGTGCAGAATGGAGTGGGAGATTAAATTGTAATATTCTTCTGAAGATCATTTAAAAATAAAGAGGGGAGGGAAAAAAAATTCAAAAACTTTCAAGGAGCAGAGATAGGTGGGAGTCCAAGGTAGTTTAGTTCTTTTTCTGGAAAGCACCAACGCTTGAAGTCATAGTGGTAGCCTCCATAAGTTCAAATGAGTGTGTGAACTTGCAATATTAGTCACTACTTCATTTGATAAGTAGAATTATTCCCATAACTTAGCAATGATAATTTTATGATTGATTTACACACACGTACATATGTATATGTGTATATTGTACATTTTGGCTAAAGTAAATATTCACATATTTGCACACTTTCTGTTTACAAGTAGATCATTCCTCTTCCATACTGAGTCAACAGACTGCTGTGATGAAAAGCGTTTACTGTAGTAAGTTTAGGTAGCTAGTACTGAGACCAGAATGAAGGTGAAATGATTTTAATCTTCATGTAATTATTTAACTTTCTTATCTGCGTTTCTGAAGGCGATCCGGACTGTCACCTTTACAATAATCAGCTAGTAAATCCTCATGATTGTTACACCTTTATGCATAGCAGTAATCTGAACAAATTGGCTGCTGACAGGTGCAATAAATTGCCAAGAATGAGTGCTGTCGGAGAACAAGTTGTTTCTGTGAACATACAGGATAAGTAAATCCCGTGTCATGCGGTTTTATTCAGCTAAAGTTATTTGCAATCCAATACAGCAGGATTTATGGCATTATTTAATTGGTATGAAAAGTGTGTGTTTATCTTTAAAATGACATTGATCTTGCCCATATTTTATGCCAGGAGATTACTGTTGACTTTAATCTGTATCTGTTCTCATCAGAAAACTTTCAGCACTTATAAATATAAATTTTACTGTCA